TAGGACGAAGGTCAGCATGTAGAGCACGCCATGAGCGAGCGGCGTCGCCTCCAGCAGCGACGCCCGCTGCGACGCTGGCCGCGTCGCGCTGGGCGCCTCCACTCATACTAGGCCGGCGGTTAGGCCTAGCGCGGAAGCGGTCGAGCTGAACAATAAACAGTCAGCACTGTTCTCAAGGAGCATTATCACATCCCAACAAGGTGTCGAATGGGTGCCAGGTCCACTTACAGTTGGTGTGATGTGTGATCCAGGGTCCAAGGACCTGAAGAGGTGGTCATAACACGGTAAGTAGCCGGAGCCAAACGTACACACGTCAGCGTTTGATCGGGATCAAGACGCGTCTTCTGGTCAGCTTGCAGCCTTAGCGACAACTGGTGTGCTTCAGTCAGTAGTGGGATGGATCGTGCTTCACCAGTTAAGCCAAACAGTACTCGGAAGGCAACACGATGATCTCGTTCCAGCTGAGACATTAAAGCAAGCGGTACAAGCAAGACTGGCAAGGCACATATCATACAAGAGAGTACAGCTGATTGGTAAATATGTAGTACCGTTTTCTGACCAATGCCCTCACCCCTAGCAGTCAAGGCGGCTACATACTTGAACAGGGACAGTGATGTTCGCCTCACCGTTTTAACATTGGGATGTCAAGAAAGGCGATGATCGATGATTACATCCAGGTAGCGATGGTAGTGTACCCACTGTATCAGTGTGTCTCTGAGGTAAAGCTTGCTAAGGTTTCGACGAGCGCGTTGCCTTAGATGATACGCGATCGCAGCTGACTTCGCTGTTGAAACCTGCAGGCCAACTTCCACCAAGTATACTGAAGTTGCATTCAAAGCTCGCTGCAATATACCATGAAGATGTGGACCATGTTATGACGGACCACTGACTCAGAGTGCAATGTCATCAGCATAAATAGCTATGCCTATAGGAAAGTCACATTCTTGCGGTAATTGGCCTGGAAGTCCTGCAAGTACGCTGTTAAAGAGAAGCGGTGACAAGACGCTGCCTTGCGGGACGCCACATTTAACAGCGCGAGGTTGACTCTGTACTTCTCCAATGCGCACTTTCATTCAGCGCTCAGATAGAAAATCACAAAGAAAGTGTAACAGACGACCTGAAATTCCTTCATTCATCAGCGCACAAATAATTGCCTTAGGTGGCACCAAGTCAAACGCTTGCTGTATGTCAAGAAATAGAACATACGCCGAATGTTTGTTTGCTCAAGCAGATTCAAGCGATGATACGAGATCTGATATGCTGTCGAGAGCTGAACGGTGACGACGAAATCTGCTCATGACATCAGGGAAGAAAGTGAGCTCCTGTAATCTGGCATCCAGACGAAAGAGCACCATACATTCCATCAGCTTCATAACAAGAGAAGTTAGTGATATTGGCCGGTATTACTTCAGGAGTTGTGCAGGACGACCAGGGTTTAAAATTGGCTTCACCACAGACGATTTCTATTCAGCAGGATTCAGACTCGTTTGCAACACCTTGTTGTATTCTTCCAGGATATATCGATGAAAGACCTCATCAATGTTTCGCGAGGCTTGGTACGTAACGCCATCTTCGCCAGGCACGAGAAGTTCCTCAGAAAGTAGTCACGCCGCCTCTTCTCTTCAATAGACTGCTAAGCATTATTCTAGTCATCATGAGGCATACACATATGTATGTTTATTTCAAGAAACCCCTAAAGGTCCTCACTAGAAGGGTATTACATAGACGGGTGGGATAAAAAAATTCAATGCAATGAATACACATCAGTGATAAAAAATTGCAATCATAAAACATATAATATAAATAATGAAAAAAACAACACAAAACCCCGCGTTTGTTGGAAATATAAAAAAGAAATATTTGAAAACGCAACAACATAAAAGAGAAATACATAATTATGGACCACAAAAAAGTGAAATGAGTTATTGAGAACATCACAAAACTCTAAACATCGTTCTAAGTTTTTAAAAGTTCATTGAATTTCGAAATGTTTTATTATATTGCTGTAGGTCAAGACATCTGGTTCCATTCAATGATGGTTTTTGGTATGAACGAATTATCAAAAAATGAAGTATGCCCTGCAATGCGTCTGACCTCCAAAGGGTGATCGTGGCGAGGAAATATTGCTAAGGGTGACCGAAAATATCGTCGTGAAGCAGCGGATGATAGATTTTATGAAAAAAGGAGAGAAGCGAGCAAGTTTTTGACGATGGGAGAGGTTAGCAAGACCAGGACGAGCTTTTAAGGTGGTGACGCTAGTGAAACGAGAGTATTCAGAACGAATGAAACGAGCAGCCCGGTTCTGCAGGGATTTTATGATATCATTGATGTATGCTTGATTCGGATCCGATATGGCTGAAGCATACTCAATTTTCGGGCGGATGAAGGTAATATACGCCTGTTTTCGCACATGCGTGAAAGCATGACGGAGATTACGTTTTAACATACCGAGGAAGTGGTTAGCAGCTGCAAGAATGTGACCGATGTGATGGTTCCAAGAGAGATCGAATTGGAGGTGAAGTCCTAGATATTTGCATGACGTGACTGAATCTACGAGTATGTGATCAAGTGCATTTATTGTCGGGAGGCGACTAGAAGTTCGTGAAAAGGAGACAAGTTTAGCCTTGGAGTGATTTAGCTTCAGTTGCCATGACGAACATCATAAATTGGTGAATTCGGGATGAGCTTGCAGGGATCTGTGGTTCTTGTCACTTCTGATGGCACGATACAAAACGCAGTCGCCAGCGAATAATCTAATCTGGGGAGAAACGTCATTCGGCAAATCATTGATAAATGTGAGAAAGAGAAGAGGGCCTACAGCTTGCTCCCTTATGGTATACCGGACGTGACCTGTGCCATTGGAGCGTTAGAACCGTTTACGCGGGTGAATGGAATGCGATAAAAAAGAAAGTCTTTAATTCATGCTACGACCTGTGAGCCAATGTTGAGATGCGTTAACTTGAGTAGTAATCTGTGGTGAAGAACATTATTAAATGCTTTCGAGAAGTCGAGAAAAACGGTGCCAACGCCGATGGCGGAATTTTCGCGACACAAGCTCTCTAACGGTATCGCGTTAATACGGCGTCAATATGAAACCCGATGTCCATGAAGGCAAGTAGGTCGTTAGTAAATCCTGCAAGGTGAGTCTCACACGAGAATTTTTTGCAAGAACGATGCTGCTATTTGAAAATGATGTTGTGATCTTTGAGGTATAATGATCTGTAAGTGAATAGCATGTTCGAGGAGTTTTGTGAAGGTGCAAGTCAAAGAAATGGCTCTGTAGTTAATGGGGTCGGAGCGAGTGCCTGATTTGAAGCTAGCGTAGTGAAGAAAAGGAGCTTCAGCGGCATTTCTCGGCGCCAAAGGGGCATCGCCATCAGCATATGCTCGTGCTTGTTGCGCTTGGCAGGACGTTGCTGACTGATTCGCTTTCTGCGTTCTGCTCTGCAAATAAACCCCGTTACAAGTGGTGGAGGTGCTGGGTTTCGATCACCCTAGAGCTTCGGAATGGCATTTTACCATCCATTATGCCTACCGACGCAAGCGCCGCTCCAACTCCTTCACCGGCACCGCCTACTGTTCTCTGCGCTGGTTCTCTGCGTCTGCGAGATCCCCCTGTTTTCTCAGGCACAGAAGACAAGGACGTTGATGACTGGATTTCAATGTACGAGCGAGTGAGTACTCACAACAAATGGGATGACGCCGCCAAGTTGGCGTACGTCTCCATCTACCTGTCGGACGTGGCCAAGCTGTGATTTATAAACCACGAAGCGGAATAACTTTAGCATTGCACCAGTCGTGAGGAATGGAACCACGTGATTATGACTGCGAAAAAGCTAACAAATAACTACTGCAAATATGTAGGTGACATAGCATTTCTTGCTTGAGATACTTACATGCATTCAATATATGCTCTCTCGACGTCACGTAGTACATAAACTTACTACTGGTAATATGTTCACGTATACGTGACACCAAACAGACAAGAAAGGGTGTTTCCACCCTTGCCGCAATGGCAACAGGTGGCGCTGACTTACACTCCCCCGTTTATATACCCATACATACCCTATGAAATGGAAGGGGAGATGACCGCCCCCGCAGCTCAGCGGTAGAGTATTCTACGCGTTATTCGAAGGTCGCAGGTTAGGATCCTGAAGGTGGCAAGCTATCTTTTCGTCCACTTTGTTTCTTCTCACATGCGTTGCAAGTACTTCTGATGAGGTCCACTGTACTTTCTCCGGAATTATTTTCTGCTAGTTCTCATTATTGCTGTGCCTAACAACAAAAAAACGAGCCATTAAATTTATACTTTCCTTCTTACAAAAACACAACACAAACCATGCTTAAAAGTTGGAAGAGGAAGCAAACGAGCAATAGATACAACGAGAAGATAAGAAGAACAGAAATAAATCGATATGGAGAAGACGGAAAATTGAATGGAAAAAACAACAAAGAAGGAGATGACGAAGGAAAATGAAAACTGAGCGGGAACTAATAAATCTGGTCGCTTCGTACTTTTTGAAGCATGGCAACCACTTGTGTGAAAAAGCCGCGGTTCTTTTTGCTTGATTGTTTGAAAGCTGAGGCTGTAAAGATTATATATCTTGTTTTGGCAGCTTAACTCGTTGAATTTGAAATGTAGCATAACATCTGTGTAAAATTCTAAATCGTATGTTTTCTCATTCTCGGCACTGTTAAGCTTTATATTTTTATTTTACCTATTTTATTTTCCATTTTGCGTCATCTGCAGTAGAATACCTCTTTGTTTTTCCCACTCTTGCTTTATTATTTGTATGTTCCGTAATGGCACTATCTATCTGTATCCCATCCCCCATGTAATTAAAAGGATCACGCACTTTCTTCGCTCTTAGTTTTCATTTTTCCGAATCAGAGTAAGCTGTAGGGGTTAGCATGTATGTTGGAGCAATCTCGCTTCTACCAGCTTTCACGACGAATGAACGTTTGTAAACTTTTTGCGAATTTTAGTAAGCCGAGAGACGCCGTGCACACAGAAGAAAGTTTATTGCAAAGCAAAACAAATAAATAAGGCGTCAATGTACAATAAAGGCACGCGTCAGAAAACTCGTAGGACCAAGGGCGCACGCACCACAGGCCAAAAATAAGTAATGACTAAACAAGATGTGCCGCGGATGATTCATTATTAGGAAGCTGTCGAACGTCAGGCAGACCAACAGGCATGACGCCCACAAACTTCTACCAAAAAAAAACATTCCAACAAGTCATTAGTAGCTACATTCTTCACAGGTACATTCCTAAAAGGTCGTCATCCACCTGCCATGCACAGCTGAAGCAGCGCATTTAGTTGCTCGTGCCACCTGTATGTGCCCTTGAGTATTGTTCAAATACAAAAAAAACTATTTTAGACGTCCATCATTGGTCGTATATAAAACTTTCATGTTCAAAATATATTATTTGAACAACGAGTACGGAGGTTTTTGACCAAACTTCACAATCGTTTTATCGTTTTGACGCAAAGTAAACGAATGCTTACATAGGACATCAACTTTTTTGCTTTTTTTTTCATACAGACGGCAGCAAGTGTCAGTCACAAGCTGCTGAGCTGCAAGTGAACACGTAATCTTAAAACAGCCAAATGAATTGTGTCGTGTTTGTCTATCCAGAGCCAATGACGTTTTTGCAAGCCTCCCTTTAAATCTATATTTTTCCTTCACCTAAACTATGTTAAAGTCCAGGAGCACCTTGAAGGTTGTGAGCTTCTCAACAATGCAAGTGAGTGACCATCCAGCTCGGTCGAGCTGTCTTTTCTGGGAAGCAGGGGACAGGGAAAAACCCGCACAGAATCTGTTCTGCGAGCGAATTGCGCGCTCCATATGCAATCAGAGTTTTGTAGGTCACTACGCGACTTTGCGGAGCTTACTGACCCGATGAGCTGGTCAGTTCCTCGTACTGTGCACGCGCCGAGGGCCGGTGCACTCCATTAGGGTCATCAAGTCTCGCATTTAAATCTCAAGCAGTCTCGTTCTCCGGTTACTTACAACCCAACAACACTTCTAACCATCTACGAATGTACAATACAAAACAGGTCGGCTCGTTGGCTCGAATACGCAAAAACGTTGTGCGGAGAGCCTTACAAACAAACAAAAAATAGCTAGAACAGCTAAAGAGACACTGTCGCTATCCTCTCTCTTGAATTAGGATGAGCTAACTCAATCAAGTGGTTTTCATAACGCAGAAAGAGTGACTTTCTAAGGAACGAGTGGCTAGCTTTAACTCTTGCCATCTTCTTCCTTTCGCCTTTCCGGGTGCTTTGCCTAAAAAAACAATGAAAAGATAGATGGCTTCTCAAACTATAAACAAAACTTTACCAAGAGTGGTGCTTCTGCACTGTCACTGACAAACAAGTACCTGAGAACAGATGATTTTTCTTATTTCCTCAGCGACTGAGACGCGTCAATTCCCATACTACCTGTGCTATGGCGGCTTTGTGCGGACCATCTCCCTTTTCCTACATGAAATATGGGACTTCTTAGTATCACCCGAAAAGTGTGCCGCCAGCTGTCAGCTCACAGACAACCATCGCTCTTTCGCCATCGATAGATCAAGCGAAAACTGGTGCTGCTAACGATTGAGTGGCATTGAAAATCATTGCTCTAAATGTAATAGTAACGACCGACTGCCAAGTGCTGCGAACAATCAGGAAGCGTCTTCACGCTACGCGATAAAGGAAATCGCATTCCGAAACTCTGGATATCTCTCTTTCGCACTTGAGGTCATCTTTCCTCATGCCAGTGTAGAAGGAGTGGTTTACTTAGGCATGCCAAACTCTTGCGTTGCCTTGGCCAGCTTGCCAATAAGATCGTTGATGGCTGGCACGAGGTTGGGATTGACGGGCCGCTTAGCGTCTCCCTGAGTCCCACCATTGAGAGACTTCGCCGAACGGTACTGGTTGGGATAGGCCGTGCCATACGTCGTGCTGTACGGATAGGCTGCGTAGATTCCGGGGTAGTTGAAGAAACCCAGTCCCGACATCATCATGGCTGCCATGCCCCCGAGGAATACTAGAGAACCTAACGCTGCACCCCCGACGGCGAGTGCCTTCGAAACTGCCCGAACATCCATTCTAAGGCTTCTGGAGAGCTCGTCGGCGACCCTGTTTGTCGCCGCAGCAATGTCGCTAACGTTGACGTTGCCGAAAGACATTGGTAATGCGTTAGCGCCTCCGAGTCCCACAAGGGAGCTCAGGAGACTTCTGGCGTCCGGTAGTCCCTGTGACGCACTCTTCGGCATGCCGTTGAAGCCTCCGGGGAACGGAATCTGGTGTATGGGTGGAAGACCATTGATACTGGCGGCGGCCCGGTCTCCGGGACCTCCAGGGAAGGACTGAAACGTAATGGCCTTTCCCTCGCGAGGAACGAACGTGATTGGTTCCTCGCTCCGGCTGCCACCGCTCGGGAATGAGGCGCTCGCACCAGTTCCTCCACTGTGGGTCCCCGAAGCAGAAGAGGCACTGGTTTTCGAGGCCTTAGAGTCCGGGAAGTTGACTGTGGAGCCCGAACTTATGGAATGTGCAGGATCGTGGTCAGCGTACATCTCTTCTTCCTCTGAGAAGCGAGACAGCATGGATCCAGAAGCGTCTCGCCTTGGACCGGAGGCTGAGGAGGAAGGGAAGACGGTTTTGGAACCGCTGCTGCTGCCCGGAAAGGTCGTGAGGACCCCGACTGCCAGCTGTAGAAAAGCGCACAGGGCGAGGCCCACTATTGCGGAGTCTGGGGACTTCATATTTCCTGTGGTTCTGCAAGTGAGAGAAGAAACAACAGGGGTGTTGAATGCTTACATTCATAGAGCAGCAATTCAAAAGGCGTCGATATCAAACTTTGGCGTGATGGATTCTGTTATTTACGTTATAAACACAGATAATGGATTCACAGATTTAAAGTTACCCACGCAGACTTACTATTAACTGAACCAATATCGCATGTGTAATAGAGCATACCGCCGCGTCGGTCCATCGGAGTACCAGAAACTACCCACAAGGAATTGCTGTGTTTCTTTATCAGAACGATTTCCTACTTACAGAACTAACTTTCTAGAACGAGAACACGTCTCCAAAAAGAAAACTGTTTTACGGAAACGCAAATATCTAATGATGCATTTATTCTTACAAGAGGTCCTATTTCGTCGACAGAATTTACCTCTCCTCCTTCACTTTACTGGGCTTCCTTGTTCTCAATGAACTCGCCAGTAGACAATCTACCTTGCTTCTTCTCAATAGTCGAACTATCCTTGATCTCAATGAACTTATCTATACTGTTTATCTACCCTGCGTCCACCCTCAAATGATAATTTGAGTGCCAAATGATAATTTGCTGCGACAGGTACGGTGCACGGTCTGTTACGCTTTGGACAGCGCACACTTCTTTCAAACATGAGTGTGTCTCGATGACATCAACTACAGGGAGCACAGTTACCCGCAGTGTGACGTTCCTGCGTAATGACACATAGATGTCGCGCACAAAGAAATATAATGAAATATAGTGTACAAAATAAGAATGTTTGAAGTCCAATGTCTTCGCACTTCAACACCCATTCCAATAGGTATTCCAAATCAGCACCGAACTGCAATACTACGAGATTATACGAGCATATTCGCAATTACATCTATATGGATAATAGAATAAAACACGCTTACTGACGTAGTGTTGTGTCAATGTGTACGCTATTGTTCTCATCGAATCTTTTGAAAACCCCGCCTATGTGTGCTTCAGGGTGCCAGTGTATCCTGCGCCAACTTGTATGTTAAGGTGGGTATTTGGTGAAAAAAGCGTGCGTTGTTGATGTACTGCGCTCAGACAGAAAGCTACTAGAGGCCCATAAAAGTGTACTAGCAATCCCTTTATTCTCCATAACGTCAAGAATAACTTTCGGCCAAAATATTCCCATAATTCAGAGTATAACTGTGGGTTTTAGACGCAATGCATCGCTGGGAGATAATGGTTACAATTCCCTTTAAATATACTGATGATTATTATCGCTGCTTATTATATAGATATAAATGTATGAATAAACATCAAAGAATCGCCGCTACGGCTTTTTTTTCGTATAGTTGTAAGTAATAGTCTCTCCCGTCAACGAGATATTGTATTTACTTCCGGACCACAACGTTGTAGGAAAAACTAAGAATCACCCACACGTTACCTTCAGCATTTGAAAACGTCACCTTAACTTGCCTTTTCTGTGCAAATATTCACAGTGAAAATAGATTAGGGCTTGAACAGCCTCCAAGTTTGCAATTACAAATATCAAATCAATATCATCGTGTTGGACACGTGTGCATATTGGACACGAAAAGTATTTATTTCAGATTGTAACTTAAACCTGGTCCCAAATTACGTTGCATTGAAAACCGCATAACCGAAATCTGCACCAACTGAGGCCGAGTAAAATTTGATGTTCGTTGATTTAATACTAAAACCACAATACAGGGAGCAAAATCTCAGTTGAGAAACTGTTTGATTTGATTGATTTCTGTTCTGGAAGCCACAGTAGTATAAAAGCGCTCGATCTCGGACTTGAAAGTTTGTAGAGAGCTACGGCAACGCCGCCCATAAACATGACCGTAAATGAAGGATGTTTAAGATGCGACAAGCGAAAAATCCCCTCACTCTCGTTCCCGTTCATCTACAACGAGGACTGGCCGAAGCTTCACTCATTCATGTATACAACAGTCAAGGTGAACTCAGAGGCAAGAGTTGCAGCGCACACCACGATGTATCGTAGCTGCGTTTGTTTCTATCCATGCTAAATTTGCCTGGCCCCCGTGAAGTGTAAAGCTGGACCTGCGGGGCCTCTCCGGCACCCTTGGTATTACCTGCGACCCCTTCGCAGCATGAGCCATACACTACAAGTAGAAAAAGTATAGTATATTTGGGTAAATGCATCACTAGCGATACGGACTTTCACGTACTTCAACTTCTATAGCTGTACATGCATCTACCTCTAACTGCCTTCCCTGCCAATTTGCAGCAACACTCCCTTCCTTTGACCTTCACTCCTAACGTAAGGTGAGGAAGTCGAAGCGTTCTTCCGTTCACAACAACTACAGCATCCATCGCAGTAATATAGTGCCCTTCACCGGGAGATAAAGCATACTGAACACCAGCTCCATGGGAAATGACGATCGTCGAGGCCGAGCACAGGCATGTACTCACTCGTGCTGGTCGTCGAGTGGCGCACAAAACGTAGACGGACGAGAGAGCCGAGAAAAACTGTTCTCCGCAGTTTTTTGCTGAAGCAATGCCGTCGTGGTAGACCTCACTGCAGTAAAGACGTTCACACTCCTTTTCGTGGCAAGACGCGGCACCACATTCACTTTTATATCCCAAAACACGCTCCAGTGGTGGCGAGGGCTGCAGCAGGCGGGGCGATGGCAAGGGAAAGGATAACGGGCTAAATGAAAACTAAGGCAGCCAACTCACTCGTGCGCCTCCGTCGCACTTGACCAAAACGACCCGCGGAATACACCGGGAAGAGAGAGGGGGACTTCTTTGGCTGTGCGCGGTGAAAACGGAGGAAGAAGAGGAGAAGACGAAGAAATGAAAGAGCGTGGGTGAACTCCAAGAGTCTTCTTGTGCTTATGTGCTTTTGTTTGTGGCAGCGTTGGGTGAAGTGGCTCATTTATTAGTCAGTGGCCGCTGGATAGTCCCTGTCCTCTTCTTGTTCTTCCTGAGCGGGCAAACAAGGGTTCGGCCACGAATATGGGTCAGTACGGCGCGCGCGACCAGAAAGCAGTGGGGCGAGAGGAAGACGTACAGGTTGCCTTTCACTGGAAGCAGCGATGGGGATCTCCCACCGTTACCCTGGCTGGCGAACCCTCTCGTGAGAGGAAGACAAGAGCCGAGAGGGCGCGGAGAGTTGTCCTAGGTGAGAGGAGGCGACAACGGCGTTGTTGTTGTGCTCTCTCACACACACCCTTCCCATAGCTGCACCGGTCAAAGAGTCTAGGCCTCATTTAGAAACTTATACCTCCAAACTGGCCCGTCCGCTCTTTCGCTTCCCCTCCGGGGACCCCCTCGCCCTTCCTCACTCACAGATTTCCCTTCCACCTGCCCCTTCTTCTGCAGTGACCAGATTGTTGTGTTGTGTGTGTGGCCCGGTTGCATTTCGCGGGGAATGCCATGCCTGTCGTTGTGGTGGCCGCGTTTATTGTTTTCCCCTTGCAGGGGATCTACAAAAGCTTACGCGTGCTGCATAGCCTAGCTGTTCAGTGGGGATGGGTTAGAGGAGCCAGGGCCAAATTTAGGTAACGACAATCTGTCAAACGTGAAATGAAATTCAATTAGCACTGTGCCTAATTCAACGCTTGGCTTGCTTTGTTTTTTACATTGTAGGTAATAGTAACTTTCATGCCTGCCAAAGCTACACTTTCAAAGAAACTAACGATTTACCTGTTATTTTTTCAAATCACCAAGCTCTGTGAAGCAGCTACTGTTTTCACAGCAGTGTTTTTTTTATAGGCATTCGAACATCTAGCTGATAACTTCATCATTCAACGTAGACGAGTGCTTTATACGTGTTGGGTGATTAAGACACGATGTGCAAACACCAGTATGCGATCGAAAGGATGTTCCTTATTCACTCGCTTTACACTTTTCATCAATTACATCGCAAATAACGTCAAACGGTACATTTACTATGTTACAATGTATGCGAGCGAAATACTATGTTCACGACTGTATCCCCCATGTGCAAAGCTTGTTATTCACTGCCCAATGTGTCCAATGACACAGCAGGTAATTAGTGTTCTATGTAACCGAATTTGTGAACTGAGCCGCAGATACGGCAGGATGTATAGAAATACCAGCCACAAGGAGCTGCGAGAAGGTGTGAACTACATACGCATAATAAATAAAGGTGTGAAAGTACAGATCCGGTTGTGTGAGAGTGAAGTACAGATATGAATAACTATTGACATGTTTTTATGGCTCATGTTGTCATGTATGTAATTTTAAAAATCCGGGATATATACTCGTATAATAATTGCGTCATTAACAGGTCATGCCAACTATTTTGTCATGTGCAAACACGTGAAACCACGTCCTCTATAGAGTGACAAAGTACTTACAGAAAGATGAAGTGCATTTGCTACGTCATTTTCCTGTAAGTCAATAACTGCGCGTAATAAATCAAGTGAATCATCATATTGTAGAATGAATTAAATAACATCTAATAGAAGTGCCAGTTTCTTGATGTTCAGGACGGCGTCCAAAAGCCGTGACACAAGCCCAACTCAATGAGGCACTAAAGGCATCGCGGATAATCAAGCTAACCTCAGGCAACAAAGATTGCCGCTAGAGCAAAAAAAAATCCTTGCGCCAGAGTTGGGACCACTACTAACAGGACCATGAAGACCCCGGTCACGGCAACCAGATTATTGATGACGACAGCTGCCGTGGGGACTATCCATGCTGATACAACAACCAAGACTGCTACCAACTTTTCGAGCATCACCCTGTGAAGACCCGGAAGGCTGGCTGTAAGGGTACAACCACTTCGCCACGTTTAACAGGTGGGACTCCGATGAAAAGTCACGCCAAGTTTATTTTTTTCAGTTAGATTGTGCCGCACTGTTCCACTAATCTCTGCGCCAATACAGGTGGTCGAGGGATCACCTTGAAACGTACGGACTGCAGCTTCGAACTCTTTTTAGACGATAGTTATGGTACCACGCAAAGAGGTTTCACGTGTATGCCTTTTAAGGGTTTTCTAATACCCAGTCTGCAGGGCATCTCTCTCAGGAGGCGTGCGAACGATTACGGCACAATTAATGCGAAAATTAGAACACACTGTTTTTTACCGTCATCTGCGAAAAGAAAACTGTATTGCAAAGGAAAGATGTCAGAGTACACTTCTTCGACAACTGCCAAATGTTATATCAAGGCGAATGAGCATACAAGAAAGTTTGATGCCAACCCGAGCTACTGTGGGGGCATGCGACACATGACAAGTCCCGAAGATTTTAATGCAGTTGTGCCAATGATGTAACTATGATATAGCGCTTCTCGCACACCCGAAAATGTGGCTCATTGTGTGGAATCACCTTGATAAGCACCTGCAAATACACGCCGAAGAGGCTTTCCTTCGGCGATGGCACACACGTTTCTTCAAAGTAAGGGGGGAGGAGGGGGACCAGCTGAAGTTTTCAGTTGTTCCGTATTAGCCAATCACCTACTCTACGCATGAATACAGGTATTTTCTGAATTGTGATGAACTCGATCCACTTTAAGTTCCCTTTAACTTGTAACATTCAGATACACAGTGATAAATTAGATTTTTGTGCTCATTTGTAAGATGTATAGACTGTCTTTACTTTTTTGCAGTGTTTCGTTTGTGTATGCGCAAGTTGAGTGTACAATAAGCTTTCCTTTTTCTCTCGTCACAAATAATATGTGAATCTGTTCGAACTAACTGCTTTTTGTGTTTCCTTTTTTTTGTTTCCTTCTGCGATTCAAGATCTATGAGAGTATTGAACTGATTCATGTTGCATCGTGTCTATGTTCTCTTGTTTGTACGTGCCACTGAAGTGATTTTGTTACACCAGACAGTTGTACTCACCTGAAGTCCTGTTACGAGTATGCAATAACCTTCCCTGTGTTTTGATGCTGCCTCATCATGTGTAGGGCCTAAGGGACGGTGTTTAAGAAGGACCAGAAAGACCGCAGATCCGATACGTCTTCAATTATTGCTTTCAGAACCAGCCTCCAAAAAATGCACAAAGTGTGCTCCTGGCCACCTTTTCTTCTTCGCCTCCGAGCTACAGCTTCAATCTGTTTTCTACATCTTCCCGCCGGCCAGATTCAACCAAAGCAGCCTTCGAGCGAATGCAGCTGTCAAATCAGTCTTTTGACGAGTTTTCCTTCATATGTCCGAAGCAAGCATGTTCTCACTCGTCCATCTTTGCCTGGGAAAATGTCTTTGACCCTGCAGCGTTGCCACTGTGTTCTTTTTCGCGCTTCTCCAAGCATAATTAGAGCCGTCAGCACCTTTAACTCGAACACTTTGATGCGTGGCCAGGGCTAGTTAGATTGATGCCAGCCGTGAAGTACCGCGAGCTTTTTCCGAGATAATACCTCGGTAGGCTTGGATGGTATGTCGGGATGTATGGTTAGCATCTTGACAACATAACCCGAACCTACTTGGTGTCATCGTCAATCAAACTGCTGCAGGACACGCGGCGGAGTGTTCGTGTTAAAGGTGCTGATGGCTGTACATCTCCTTCTTTTATAGTTGTGTGAGCTTCTGTTTTTCTCTTGGCACACTTAAGCTCCCTCACGTGCTCCCTTTTCCATCTCTTCCACCACACTATCATGGCCTCTTTTCTTGCATTCCAGTAATTCAGCAAACTGTATTCTCCAAGTTTGTTGTCTTCCTGCTTGCTTGCCTGCAACCTATAACATCCACCTGTGGGATTGTTTGGGGCTCGTTATGATCGTCATACACATAAGTAAGATGCCTGTTGTTTAACAAACACCGTCTGCAGTTCTTTTTCACCCATAAGTCTGGCTCCTATCGTTTTTGCCTTGAACGTCTTAAAGCTTCTGATCACTCTTCCATAAAATCCTCCCCACCATGAGGCTAACTCTGCAATAAACTTCCATTTCAATTTCATGTTAGTGGTGTACTGTTTCACCATTTCATCTGCCATTTTTAACATCTTCTTGATCTCTTTCTCAGATTTCTTGAACGCTCTTGCATTGTCGCTGTAAGTTATTTTACACATTCCTCTTCTAGCTACGAATATTTGGAATGCTCGTATAAATGCTTCTGATGACATCCTCTTTACCAACTCCAGTTGTACAGCTCTTGTTACTACACACGTAAATGTCACTGTGTAGAACTTTGTAATATCACTGCCTTTTTCATCTAGAGCATTCAGCGGTCCAGCAAAGTCCACACCAACTATGTCGAATGGCCTCGTCCGCGTTATCCTGTTACCCGGTAGTGGTGAAGTTTATTGCGTCACTGGTCTGCAATTAAACCTCCTACATGAGATGTACTTTTTGTAACATATTTCACCATCTGTCGGTCACGAAGAATCCAAAACCTCGTTCTTAAATGTGTCAATGTTGCCGCAACGCCACCGAGCATTGTGTCTTTACACGCATAAAGGGGTACTGACACAAAAACTTTCGCCTCGCGTTTTTCTGCTGCAATGCGTTCCTGGGGGCCTGTTAGTCATGACACGACACATCGTTTGCGGCAGCACGCGTCAGGTAAATAATTACAGGCCCTTCATTATCAATCAGTCTCAGTTTCGGTTTGAGAG